AACCGTTTCTCTGTACCTGACCACTGTAAGCATAACAAGACATACCGAAAAGTCGCTTATTATTGTTGTTTTCAGTGTTATATTGGAGGCCAAACAATCCAGGTTTACTCTCCAGACAGGCAGCATCTGCAAGGACAGACAAGGCATCATCGAGCTGCATAACCTGCGGTGTGTGCTCTGCCACAACGCCTCCCTCCGAGCAAACAGGTACGATTCCCTCGGGCACTTTAGTTCCAGAAGGAAGGGTAGTTTATTGTTCCTACAGTTAATACTTAAATAAGAACAACCAAGGAGATACACAAAACTAGATCATGGTATGAGTTTTAAAATATTGGTGGGAAATGCTAACTAATTCTTAGCAAAAACAAAACTCTTATTTAAGGTATTTCCCGTGATTGGTGCCCTCACTTGCAGTCTTCCTTGCTTTTGTCCGTGCATCACGGGCTGAGTTATCCTTACCCGTCTTCTCACTGTGGGAGTAGGAGCCCAGTGTTTTAGAGGGAGGCTCAATTAGACAGGAGTCGTGGTTGATAGAGATGAAAATGGGCGACTTCTCTTCCCAGACGGTATTTGAGAAAACCCCTTCCACTCCTGCACTTGTTCTGACAATGTGTTTAACTCTTTGAACACTTTTCAGGAGTTGCATCGTTCACTCATAATGTCTAACGGGACAAAGCTGAAATGAATGAAAGCATATCACTGTTGATTGCCACTTTTTCTCTTGATGCTATATGTTTGTTTATCTAAGTAACAAGCTCGAGGGAATAATCTTCATCAAAATTATGAGTTTCATGAATGAATAAATAAATATTATAAGCATAGTTCCACTTAATTTGTTTTACCTTTGGATGGAATGAGCATTATTACAGATGCTAGAATATGCTGTTATAAAAGAGTAAGGAACGTCATTGTATGGCTGCTAGATTATTTAAAATGACATGGCTCACATACAACAGCACTTCAGAGAGTTTGGGGTGATATTTCTATGGCCATGCTCCATTTTTTCACCAACTTTTTGAAGCTCCTTTCTATATCTTTTCTGTTTTTAAACAAATCATTTTATTGGGGGCTTGTACAGCTCTTATCATTCTCAAAACATTTGCTTTCCACTTGAGCCCTTGGCATTAGCTCATTTTTCCCCTCCCTCCCTTGTCCCCCCACCCTCACGAACCATTGATAATTTATAAATTATTATTTTATCATATATTACACTGCCCGACATCTCCCCTCACTCACTTTTCTGTGTCCATCCCCCAGGGAGGAGGTTATATATAGATCCTTGTAATTGGTTCCCACTTTCTTTCCCACTTTCCCTCCACCCTCCCAGTATCGCCACTCTCACCACTGGTCTTGAGGGGTTCATCTTTCCTGGATTCCCTGTGTTTCCAGTTCACATCTGCACCAGTGTACATCCTCTAGTCTAGCCAGGTTTGTAAGGTAGAATTGGGATCATGATAGTTGTGGGGAGGAAGCATTTAAGAACTAGAGGAAAGTTCTGGTCCCCTTGCTGTTCTATTGCACGCCCTTTGTATTTTGCCTCAGTGTGGTGGGGTCAGCTCGGTCACACATCCCACACTGTGTCTTCAGTGTTGTCCCATGTAGGGCTATGGGTGCGTGTGGGATGTCGCATCTCTTGGTGGGGCCAGCCATATGGTCCCCTCTGCATTGGCTGCTCTGAGCGGGGCTATTGTCCTCAGGGCGTGGTGGGCCAGGGTGTGCTCCACTCCTTTCCTCCCACTTCATTTGCTTCTACTTCCATCTGGGCGTGGTAGGTCTGTACCTTTCTCCCACCAGAAGTTCTGTTGTCATTCTCTGGCACACCCTCCCATGGTGGGGGTCAGGGTGGTTCTGGTTGGGGCTGGTCCTATAGTCCAGTCTTTTTATGGATTCCTCCACATGTTACGTTGCCCTCCTGGTTTGATGCGCTGTGGTGGGGTCTGTATGCCCGCTCCAATTCTGTGGGGACACAACCAATACTCTCTCCCTAGGTGGGTTAGTGCCCTCTTCCCCCCCATGTCATCAGTTTCTCCTCACCCCCATTCCCCGTCCTCCTTCCCCCTTTCCTCTTTATGTTGGACTCAGGTGTACCTCCCTGGGTGTGGTCTGACCTCCCCCCCCACTACCTATGCTTCCACCCATGTATTGTGAGATGTGTTTATTCTTCCATTTCTGCCGTGCTGGTTGTACTTACATCAGGGGACTCATGTTATACCTGTCTTTTTGAGAGCACGCGGCCGGGCACTGGTGCCAGAAACGAGAGCCCCTTGAAGCTTGACCACCCCCGGCCCCCTCACGGGGAAATGGAGGGGCGCCGGGGTCTCCCACTTATTGTACACCTTTCATGTCTCTTCACCGTGCCAGGCTAGGGTCAAGCTCAACAGGGTCTTCCTTCCCCGCTGATTCCGCCACGCCCGTCCCCTGGCTGTGCTTTCACTGGAGAGTAGGTAGGGACCGTGGGAATCTCGTTCACCCATCCTTGTGTTTCTTTTGAACAACACTGCTCTAAGAGTGTATGAGGAAGTAAGGAAAAATCACTGCACAGGCAACAGCAGTAGGGAAAGACTTTGCAAGGGGGCCTTTGGCCCTTTTCTAGGACTGGTTTCGGTGAAACATGTACGAGACAGCTGTCCTCTGCTTTCCTGAAGAATTGATTGTGCCTCACAAGCACTCTTGTTCAGAATTAGAATGGCTAGTGTGTGTTTTCATACTGTAGGCTTTTAATCCTGGGACCCCACTAGGTAGCATAAAGATGATTTAGGTAAATTCACTGTTGGCTTACAAGAAAATCTTCAAGCACTTTCCCAACTCAGTTTTACTTGGTGCGGAGTTCATGTTGGATGGTTTGTTAGTAGTCATGACACTGAAGTTCTTAGTGACCAAATGCCCCAGGAAATGTTCCATTCAGTGCTGTTTGGCCAGGTGTGCCAGGGACTGTGTAGTACTTGGAGTTCTTCATTTCCAAGTAGCTTGCATTAAACTTGAAGGCATTACAAGCCATTACAGGCAGTCCTGTGAATTACCAGCTTTTACTTTATGTATAACCTATAGCTACAAACCAATCTATAAAGTGTATTAAATTAATTCACGACCCATATAATGATTCATAATAACAGACTTTAGGGGCAAGGTGCATCAGAACCTTATCATATCATGTTTATGATGTTTCAGTGAAAGTGGAAATATTTCTCTATTATGTATAGAAAGGTACACTGTATGCAAATATTTGACTCACTGACATTAGATAGGAACTTTACCTGTTAAAATTTTTGAACAGATTTGACATACAGGCAGATTTAGGTCTTAATCTGGGGATTGTTTGTCATTTTTTCTGGTTTATTTAAAGGCTAAGTGAGCCACTGATTCATATAGTTACAAACGATTTATGTAATTCAGTCAAAATTCTCAGTGCTTGCTCAAGTTTGCTCAAAGTGGTTGATGTAACTTGAATATAGTTTTGTTTTATAAATTTTATAGAGTTTTTGTCCCCAATCTGGACATTGGCTGACAATTTGTTTCTTTTACAAATATAAAATAGTTATTTCCCAAGTTACAGACATTTAGCTGTTTGAGCAGCCAAATACAAAAAGCACTTCATTCCACAGCTTAGAGTCTGAATTATGTGTTCCCTGGCCTATAGGGATGAGCCAAGCCGTATTTTCAAGGCTGTTGTTACTGTTACTGTTCCTGCTTTGCTTGCTTTTTGGCCGAGGCAGCTTTGAAGTATTTGTGTTTGTAAACATTTTGTTGTCTTTAGCTGAGCTCTGAGAAACCCTGATCACTGCAGTCATTCAGTGTTCAGCTCTAAATGATAGGCTGGTAGTTTTGAATCTACTTAGCCCTGGTGATCCATTCTCCTAAAGATTATTGCCTAGAAAACCCTATGGGATTTTCTGCTTGGACAGCTGGGGTTGCTAGGAATTGAAAATTGGCCAGATGGCACTTGAGAACACAGGACATTTTAATGATGAACATTTTGTATCTTCTGTCAACCTAAAAGGTTTGATTGCTATTTAAAGCCAGAATATCAGATATCCGGTGATATGAATGGGCTTCAGGAATTCTGTGGAAATTTTTATTATCTTTTAACCATTTTCCTACAAACTTTGAATCCCCTTGGTGTATCTTGGTTCTGTATTTTAACACTATATACAATCTCTTCTATCCATTATAGTCTACTCGAGTCAGTGCCGGCTCATAGCGACCCTACAGGATAGGGTAGAACTGTCCCTGGGTTTCCAAGACGGTAACTCTTTACAGAAGTAGAGAATCCCATCTTTCTCCTGAGCAGCAGAGGTGGGGGTGGGGGTGGTGGTTTCAAACTGCTGACCTTGGAGTTAGCAGCCCAACCTGTAGCCACTACACCACCATGAGTGCATTTAATTGTGAAGAGATCCAAGAGAAACTGCATTGTTCTGGGGCTTGAGAGACTGGGGTGATGGGAGTGGGGCTCTGGTTCCTTTGGAGCCAGTCTGTATGATGTCTGTTTATCTTGGGAACAGAATGACAATAGAGAGATGGGATGAGGCTTGGATGCCTCTAGCTCTAGTCAGCCACCAAAGGTGGGAGGGATGTAGGTGCTGGCTAGGTCCTAAGCTGTTGTAACTAGGTAGGTATAAAAAGGCCATTGATCTTTTCTGAATATCTCCAAGTCAACCATTTTCTAACCCTGTCTCCCACTAATGGAAACTGTCAGTTTTCCTGTCAATTCGATAGGTTAGAGTTCAGCTTCTGAAGTGGTTTATGCAAGTCTCTGTACTTTGATTTAATGCGGACTTATATCTAGAATGTTTGTCTGGTTTTCTCTCCATAGAGAGCGCGTGACTCCGCCCCATCATGTGCGGCATTTGGGCCCTCTTTGGCAGCGATGAGTGCCTCTCTGTTCAGTGTCTGAGTGCTATGAAGATTGCACACAGAGGCCCAGATGCCTTTCGTTTTGAGAACGTCAATGGATACACCAACTGCTGTTTCGGATTTCACCGGTTGGCAGTAGTTGATCCACTGTTTGGAATGCAGCCAATTCGACTGAAGAAATTTCCTTACTTGTGGCTCTGTTACAACGGTGAAATCTACAACCATGAGAAGGTACACAAGAGACCAGAAGATACCTGAATGTGATGAAACCTGACTGGTTATAATATTCGGATGTATTTGTATCAAGCTTTTTGCTTCCCATATTCATTATCTTATGAGTTCCCATCATGTAGCCATGCACTGAGGTACCAAGAGGTGGAATGTCTAGTAAGAAAAGCTGATAAAATGGAGAATAAGGGTCTAGTTCTTTGATTTCTAATAGAATTTGGGTATGTGTGCTGTGTTCTGTCTCACATCACACTCTCTCTGCCTTTTTGATCTAGATGCTGTCATCCATTGCAATGGCTGCATGAACTTAAGGACAATAGTCATGATGAAAGGGGTTATTAAGGAAGCTACAGGTTGTAATGCTGTGGTGAGCAATGCCTAGGATACTGTTGTTCTTCAGGAAGGACATGTTATATGATTCTTTGAGGGGTGTTAATAAATGCCACTCCACTCTAAGCCTCAACCCGAAGACATTAAGCTCAAGCTCTGGGTCACTAAACCCAGCTCCATAAATTAATACCCGTAGGCACCTCCCTCCACTAGCGAGCCTCTTGGCCCAAACCACTCCACTTTACTTGCTCTGTGGGCTGAGAAGTTCACTACTCTGTCTCGTGCTCTGGCTTCTGATTCTGCTGCTGCTCCTCTGATACCACAGCTGTTTTCCTACCCAGGAGGTTCACTGCACAGGGGTTACAGGATCCAGAGGATGACCTCTACTCCTGGGTTTTGCTTGTAATGCTTCTCATTCTATGTCCAGCAGATGGCCGTCCAATGAATCCTCACAGACACGTCCTATCAGTATCTTCCCCTGCCCTCTTACCTAGACCCATGCAGGAAAAGGTCATTCGGTGTGAGTTAAGAGACTGACTAGAAGAGCAACATTAACATCATTCATTGTGTGTGTGTGTGACAGAGAGAGAGAGATTGGTGTATGAGCTTAGCATTCGTGTGTGTGTGTGTGACAGAGAGAGAGAGAGAGAGATTGGTATATGAGTTTAGCATTGGACTGTTCACCACACAAGATGGGCTGTTCACTCCAAGAGAGAAAGATGAGGCTGTTTGCTCCTAAAGAGTTAGGTAGTCTCAGAAACCCTAAGGTATTATGTCTAGTGTGGGGTCACCATGAGTCAATGTCAGCTGGATGGCAGTGAGTTTAGATGGGTTTGGCTGGGCGTGTGAATTCATTTATGTATTAGAGTCTCTACTAGAATCTCTGCTAAGTCTTTCTTAGTGCTGAGGATACAATGCTAAATAAGAGAGATGCTGAGACCTTCACAGCAACAGTGAGAGAACCTGAAAGGAGTAGGGCTGCAAGAAAGTAACAGAAACAGGATGGGATTTACAACTTAATTGTAAAGCTTATATTCAATGTTTGAGGAACTTGGCAGGCAAAACATTACTTTGTGCTTTGTTCGCAGGACTTCATGGCATATTGAATCTAAACCAGTATATTGTATTTGGTTTGATTGCTTGTCATGTGGACAATTACTATTGTGAAGGTCACACAAAGCCTTAGACCTCATCCACGTCCCTGACGTCTGGGCAAGACCCCCAGCGACCCTGCTATCCTGGCAGCTGGCCCTCAACAGACAGGCACTCTGCCCTTTGAAAAAAATCCTCAAAGAATGAATTATGAGACTGATGAAAGTGGGATGGAGAGAAGGGGCCTCTTGGGAAAGTGACACTCAGGGAGATGGACCGGCTAGCAGGGCTGGAAAGAACTTGCCTTGGAGCCCAGGACTTGTAGAGCAGTGAGCCAAGGAGAAGGAGGGAGAAGAGTTGGGAAGGTTGGCAGGTCCAGATGGCCAGGACTGGGAAGCCTGGCCAGGTGTTAGACGACTCTAAGAGCAGTGGGATTTTGAAGATTGAGGCAGAGATAGGATTGAATAGTTTGCAGGGTGTCATAGTTGAGCTATGTATTACTGTTGCATGCTTTTCATTGTAACAAAGGGCAGGAGGGCAGCCCTGTGCAGTGGGGGCGTGACACATGGGACCATGCTCTCCTCTGGTGACGTGGCCTCTTTCAATGAGATTGGATGAGGGGCTCGACATTCTGACTCTCAGAAGCTGAACATGATAACTGTCCACCCAATGGATAGGCAGCACATACATGAGAATGGTGGGGTGTTACAAACCTCTTAGCCTGGGCGTCGGATAGGAAATAACTTTTTACTTGGGTGACATTACCGCATTTGATAATTTTGTTTTAAAACCATACAAGGTTAATTGCTTGCAAATCATTTCTTTTCTAAAATGGTACAATCCGAGAGGACTTCAAAAAAGGTTGATGGCACTGAAAGGTAATGGAATTTTTTTGCACAAACTTTTAGAAACCCGTTATGCCACCAGGGCTCACGTTGTATTGAGATTCAATGTCTTTTAACCCTGACTGTCTCCCTTAATGCGACCAGGATGTGGTTTCTGCAGATAGACGGAGTCTCATTTCCTGCCAATTCTGAGAGTTCTTTGAGGCTAATTATGGAATGAGCCATATTAAGAAGCATCTTTACATGTCATCTCTCTATGGGCGTAATACATAAAGCCCTTTTTGAAAATTTTCTGAGGTCTTAAATGATGCTTAAATGAAGCACACCCAGGGTTTTCACCCATTTTGGTTTATGTTAATCTCTTCTCTTTGGCCAGCCAGAAACGGATAGAACTGCCTCTGAGTTTCCGAGATGGTAATTCTTTTAAGGGAGTAAACAGCCTTATTTTTTTTCAGTGGAATGGGTGGTGATTTGAAACCGCTGACCTTGATTGGGGCTCACAGCACAGCACAACCCTTAACCACCACTTGTGCTCCTGGTAGCTGTATTATATATGAAGTGTCCTCGACTCCAAGGGACTCCAAAAGTGTCTTCCTCCCAAGCTTTGGGGCTGTGAGAGGAGAGTCACGCAGGCCCTGACTGCCTGGAGGTCTGGGATGTGCGTCCTCAGCTTCTGTGATAGGCCTGTCAAGCAGATTTGCAGCACACAGTTTGAACGGGCAGCTGGGTGGCTAGGTTGTTAGGGAGCAGTGACTCAGGGAGGTGGCCACCTGAAAAGGCCAGTGTCCACTCAGATGTCTGGCCTGGGGTTTGTCCCCTTGAGTGCCATCCAAAGGCCCACCAAGCACTAGCACTGAATAAAGCATTGTTCCCTAGTCTTTCCAGAGTCCTGCCCCATGGACTTGTCCTCATGCCCAAGGCAGTGACGGTCCACGGGAGAGAGGTCTGTACATGGGCCTTATCTGTTACGTTCCACATGGAGCTTGATATTGGCATAATCCTAGTACCCTAGTACCACAATCCTAGTATCCACATCTCTATGGATGATGTCTCTTCTCACCAGCTCTTCATTTTTCCTTGCCACACCACAGCTACAGTTGCCACAGGTTTAGCATTCCACTATAAAGAAATTGCAGACTTCGAAGTTAGTTCAAATGGGTTCTTTTTGACCATGTCACAGTTTAATATTTCTGAAGTCTAGGAAATACTAATGTGCATTTATAATAAACAATTATTAGGGAAGGCACAGGGATTCCAATTTTTAAAATATTGCTCTTGTTATCTTTAAGCTGCGTCACCACTTTGGATTTGAGTATCAGACCAAAGTGGATGGTGAGATCCTCCTTCATCTTTATGACAAAGGCGGAATTGAGCAAACTGCCTCTCTGCTGGATGGAGTGTTTGCGTTCATTTTATTGGATACTGCCAATAAAAAATTGTTCCTGGGAAGAGATACCTATGGAGTCAGACCTTTGTTTAGAGCCATGACTGAAGATGGGTTCTTGGCTGTGTGTTCAGAAGCTAAAGGTAATGATGGATTCTTTTCTGTGGAATTACATTATTGTCAAGTTTTTGTGCTTCTATTTGCAAATCCCTTGTGTGGCCATCCAGAATTTTACAAGCAGCTTAGGTGGATCAACTTTACTTTTTTAATGTTTGGGTCATTTTTGTTATTTATATTAACTTACCTCCAAATATGTCCCCAAATTGTTAATAAGTTTTCTTCCCCTTTTCTAGTGTGCTGAATTATACCCAACATACATTGCCATTTTGACCGTCTTCTAGCATAGCTATATAGCGATATCAGCAGCAGTATTCACATCCAAAATGTTGTTTAAGAGAGATACTCCTCTCCTCTTTGGTAGGATCCCTGTTAGTCTCGTATGTTTACTTATTTTTTTCTTTTTGGTGTTTATCTATACAAGATAGGCAGTCTTACTTAGAGAGTGACTGGTCTGACAATTCCTGGGGGCCATGGGAGTGGGAGGGGCATGGGTGGGTGGGGAGCCACCAATGATGGGTACAGGGAAATAGTAAGTGTTCTAAAATTGATGGAGAACAAAGTTCCTGAGAAGCACCCCCAAATAGACTTCAGGCTAGGAGGGGCAGTTCGAAGAACTCCCCAGGACCCGTGGGGAGAGTGTCATAAAAGTCAGCAGATAGACCTGGGATTAGGTATGCTTTTTTGGGTTTTTTCTTTTTCTTCCCTCCTCTCTTCGAATTTTTGTTTTCTTTTTGTCTTTTCTTTGTTCTTTTGCCTACCTATGTAAGACAGGCATGGGAAGCCAGCCTGAGAAGAAAGCAATGGGACTGATGGTTCGGTACGAACTTGTGGTGAAGAGAAGGAGAGGAAGGGAGTAGTGAGCAAACAGCGTTGTAGACAGGGGAACAACTAGGGAATTGAAATCAATGAGGAGGGCATAGAGATCCCAGTGGTGTTAGAGCAGCAAATATTTATCTGAGTAATCACCAAGAGGCAGAAGAAGGGTGAGCATGATGGATATATTGGATTGTGTATGATATGGCAAAAAAAGAGCTCCCAATAATGGATGGGTTAACATGATCGTGGGTAAAAAGAAACAGGAAAGATCTAGGAAGCAAAGCTATGGCTAGAGGTATAAACATAGTTGTGTACATGTGCAAGTATATTAATTCATAAAACTAGAGGTATTGGCCTAAGTACATATATTTATATGGCAAGACGCTGGGTCCGCTGCTCAAACCCTTCCTCAGTGCAAGAACACTTTGTTCTAACAACCTGGCATTCTGTGATGCTCACCCCCGACATGGCTATCAAAAGATGATATAGCATCTGGGGTCTTAAAGGCTTGAAGTTAAAACAAGTGGCCATCTAGCAGAGAAGCAACAGGCTCACGTGGAAGAAGCACACCAACCTGTGTGGTCATGAGGTGTCAATGGGATCAGGTAACAGGCATCAGAAGACCCCCAAACAAAAAAAACCATATTGTTGAGAACGTGGGGGGTTGGAGCAGAGACCCCGAACCCATCTGTACACAGTAGGACATCCCCTCACAGAATGGTCACAAGTAAGGGATGAGTCAACCAGGGTACAGTATAGCATCGATGAAACACAATTTTCCTCTGGTTCATTGAGGCTTCCTCACCCCCACCCTACCTCCCCCCACTATCATGACCCAGTCCTGCCTTTCAGTTCTGGCTAGACCAGAGCATGTACACTGGTACAGATAAGAGCTCTTGACACAAAATCCAGGTGAGACAAACCCCTTAGCAACAGAAATTGGGTAGGAGGGGAGGAAGGGGGAAATGATCACAATGATCAATGCATAACTCCCATCCCCCAGGGGGATGAACATCAAACCTGAGTGAAGGGAAACAGTGGTCAGTGTACAAATATGCTTGATACAATTGATGAGTAGAATAGCTAAGAGCTGTAAGACCCCAATCAAATGATCTTTAAAAAAATAAAACTGATGGTGAGGAGGGCGTAGCTTTTCTGGTCATTTGATCAATTGAGTTGTATTTGAGAGTAATTACAGAAGTGAACAATGGGTTAACATGATAGTGGGGTAGGAGGGGAAAAAAGGAAAAAAATATATAAGCTTATATATATGCAAATATATGTGTATTTGCTTTTATATGTGGGTGTATGTATGCAAATGACACAAGGAAGCAGATGGACTTTGGGCCTCTACTTATCTTACCTCTATAATAGCGGTTTGTTCTAATATTGTGGTACTGTATGCTACTCACCTTCCTGACAGGATCACTGAAGACAAAATGGGTGCATAAGCAAATGTGAAGGAAGCTGATGTTGCCTGGCTATTTAAGTCTGAGTTCTTAATGGCTTGTAATTTCACAAGCGGTCATCTAGTAGGGAATAGGATTGTATGTGAATGGATATATTGGATTGTGTAAGATGGCAGGGGAGGGGGAAAGCTCCTAATAAAATGATTAAAAAATTTAAAAAACCCACAAAAACAACCTTAATGTAACCCTCACCCCTAAAAAAAGTTGTATCAGTATTCAGTTGCAAAACGTCTTCATCACTCTGAATAGAAAAGCTCTACCCATTAAGAAGTAACTTACCACTTCCCTCGCTAGCCCATGGTAACTAACCCCACTGGCCTACTTTCTATGCATATCAGTGGAATCATATAGTATTTGTTCTTTGTATATGACTTACTTCACTTAGTGTGCTTTCAAGATTCATCCAAGTTGCAGCATGAATCAGGACTATATATCTCGTTACGGCTGAATGATATCCCATGTCAACACCACATTGTGTTCATTCGTTTGTGGCGGGCATTGGGTTGCTTCCTTTGCAGTAATGTGAATAAAGCTGCGTTAAATGCTGGTGTACTGCGCCATCCTCTCCGTTGTTGTCCTGTTCGAGCCCATCATTGCAATCATGTGACAATCCATCTTGTCAGGGGCAATCTTCCCCTTTTTTGCTGCCCATCGACTTTACCAAGCATGCTGTCCTTTTCCAGGGACTGGCTGTGCATGTCCCAAGACAGATTGGTTTGTCCTTTTGGCAATCATGGACTTAGAATAGTTTCTGCCAGCATCATAACTCAAATGCCCCCATTCTTCTTTGGGCTTCATTATTCCATATCCAGCTTTCACATGCACACAAGATGATTGTAAATACCATGGCTTGAGTCAGGTTTATCATAGTCCTCAAAGTAACATCCTTGCTTTTCATTACTTTTCTGTTTTTAATCGTTTTATTAGGGGCTCATACAACTCTTATCGCAATCCATACATACATCAATTGTGTAAAGCACATTTGTACATTCATTGCCCTCATCATTCTCAAAACATTTGCTCTCCACTTAAGCCCCCGGCATCAGGTCCTCATTTTTCCCTCCCTCCCCGCTCCCCCCTCCCTCATGCGCCCTTGATAATTTATAAATTATTATTTTGCCATATCTTTCCCTTCACCCACTTTTCTGTTGTCCGTCCCCTAGGGAGGGGGGTCACATATAGTTCCTTATAATAGGTTCCCGAGATTTACCCAATGAAATACATCATTTGATTTCTTGACTATTTTAAAAAATAGTTAAGGGATAAATGTCTGGCTTCTTCATATCTGACTTTAAAGTACCCAACAGTGGATCATTTTGGTTGTTAAAGCTCGGGAATTATGGCTGTTTTGAAATTACACGGCATGCTACATGTACAGTAAAGTACCATTGACTACATTTTTCAAGCTGTGCCACCATTCCTACACCTTCTTCTGAAGCCCTACTGTGCAGTAGGCATGCTCTTGCTGACCCTCTCCAAGCAAGCGTAATCTGCACCTTCTTCAGTGGTCAATTTGATGATCCCATGAAATTTTTTGGAAGCGCAGTGCTCAAGACTAACATGTCTTTCCATTTAGTCAGAACTTCTTAAAGAAGACGTCAGGGGACACTTTTGCTTTAAGGAAAAGATTATCTCAGTAACAGTTTCACGGGTTCATCTGACCTCAACAGCATTAGAAAGCTGGAATTTCATCAGCGTTTGACATGATCTTCACACCACGAGCCCCTGCCCCAGCCCCCCTGTTCCTCCGCCCCCAGATGTGGTCTTAAACGGTCTCTGATGACCAAGAAAGGGCATCGTAGCAAGGTTCAAGCCTTAACTTTTTGCTGCATGAATGTGTCTGAATGTTAACTCTTAGTTATTCATATGTTTGCATGTTACAGAAAACAAATTCTCTTATCAGAAATTCCAGCTAGGGAAAAGAAAGTGAACCTTGGAGAATTTCATAGTAGAAACCCATGTAATTGTGCTTTATATTTCCATGTCACTCTGAGTCTGTAGCCAGTGACAGTAGAGTGTGGGGGGTTAAGGTTTTTGTCACCCCCCGCCCCCCGTGTTTATATAATGGATATCTATTTGTATTTTTTTAAAGGAACGTAGAACTATATTTGTGATAAAAGTCATTATATTTGGAGTCTTATACTATGTAATAGGAATTAAATTATCTTTATAATTGAACCAATTCAACAGCAAGTAACAACATCTTTGTGGTTTGTAGGCCTTATTAACTTGAAGCATACCATGACTCCATTTTTAAAAGTGGAGCCTTTTCTTCCGGGACACTATGAAGTTCTGGACTTAAAGCCCAATGGCAAAGTCGTGTCTGTGGAAATGGTCAAATACCATCATTGTCGGGATGAGCCTCAGCACGCCGTGTATGACAATGTGGAGAAACTATTCCCAGGTAATGTGACAACACCTATCCACCCATTCCCTAACCCTTTCCCCCAAAGCAAAAACGTTTCACTCTCGCAAATTGCGGAACGACTGAAGCTTCACGACGTGTTTCCTAAATACCTTAGAGATCTGGCGGTTCTCTGGAGAGTGAATGCCGTGGTTCGGCAGAGGCCCTCATGATACATGCAGAAGCTGGTGCGCCTCGTTCTCAGCAAATAATTTAGCCCGAGTGGGTCTGGATCTCTTTATTTTTGTGTTTATAGGTTTTGAGGCAGAGACCGTCAAGAACAACATCCGGATCCTCTTTAACAATGCTGTTAAGAAACGTTTGATGACCGACAGAAGGATAGGATGCCTTTTATCAGGTGAAGTCAGAATTTAAAACCTAATTATATTAGCGTGCTTCTTTAAACTTAAGTGATTTGTAACTACCCCTGAAGTTTAAAATACTTCTTTAAAGATTTAGCTTTCCTTCATTATAGAATGAAAATGTTAATTTTCTGTAAACTAAATTTCATATAATTTCATATAGCAAATTGGGGTGTCTGAGTGGTGTAATGGTTGATTATTCTCAACGGATAACTGAAAGATTGGGAGTTTAAACCCAGCTAGAGGTATCTCAGAAGGTGCCCTGGTGGCATAGCTGGCCACTTGTTGGGCTGCTGATCTAAGGTCAGCAGTTGGAAACCACCAGCAAGTTCAAAGGAGAAATAATGAGGTTCTCCTAAAGAGTTACAGTCTCAGAAACCCACTGAGAGTCAGAAACTGCTCGTTGACAGGACGTTTGTTTGGTGAGAGAGGCACCTCAGAAGACCTGGTGGTCGGTCTCCTTGAGAAAAATTCAGCTTTTGAACATCCTCTGGAACACAGTTTTACTCTGAGACATAGGAGGGGGTACCCATAAAAAGACCGGATTTTTTTTCAAAGCTATGTATTTAATTTTTTTAATAAAACAACCTTATCACCTTCACAGTACTCTCCACAGTACTTAATACATTTGTCACATCTGTGATTCCATTTTGGAGACATTTTTACAAGAGCATCTGTTTGGATGGTTGACAGCATGTCGTCCCTCGGTTTTGTGAGTTTTTTAAAAATCATTTTATTGGGGGCTCATATCCCCTCACATCAAAAAAATAAACATCATCTTTGATTTCACTTGTTCCCAAGCTTTTTGGGGGGCAAGTTGGTGATGGCGTTTTCCACTGGCTTGATGATGTTTGCTTTCAGGGTCGTAAGAATAGCACCATGTGTCAGCACCAGTAATGACCTTGGAAAAAAGTCTGGGTCGCTTTGGAGCTGTTCTTTCAAAGCACGGTGGCATGTTTCCACTTGACCCTCTTTTTCCTCGTTGGTTAGAACTTGAGGCACAAACCCTTCTCATTCCCAAATCTTCATTAAATACCCTGAACCAAGCTCCAAGGTAATCCAGATAGCTTCTCCACCTCTTCAATGGTCCGTCGTCAATCAAGTGCATGACTTTTGTCTGTGATGGACGTCCGGAATGTAGTTTGTCATCAATAGATATTACACCTTTTTTAGAAGGGAGAAAACAACTCGTACGGGTGAGTTTTTCCCATAGCACTGTCCTTATAAGCTGTTCGGCAGCATTTTTCCCTGGACAGAAAATGCAACTTCAAAGCTGCATGTTAATTCTCTTTAATCAGCCTTTTGAAAAACGAGGTTCAAGTAAAACTGCTTTTACAAAAAATTTCGTTTTGACCAGAGAGGCCTTTCCCAAACAATGCCACCGGGTGCACTAACTCAGAGCAAGTTGTTTGTGCTCAACTAGCTGGGGAAAAATGAGTACTATGAAGGTTCTGCCCAGTGGAACTTTTTTTTTTTCCGTGGAGGGGGGTGTCATGTTACCCCTTTGTATGTGATTGCATGAGTCAGAACCAGCTTGGCACCCTCTGTTTAATTTAGGAAATTAGAGTTATACTACTGCTATATGCTTCATATAACTTCTGCAGATTGGCTTGTACTCAAATACATGATATGAATGTCCTCTATTATAATTGTTACATGTTACATATATTTTTTCTTAGGTTTACTTTTAGTTTGCAAAACTAAATTTTAGTACTTAACAAGAATGCAAATTCTCTCTGTCCTGATCTTCTGCAAGGAATATCACCAATCATGTGGTTGCTGTTTCACTCGTAGGAGGTTTGGATTCCAGCCTAGTTGCTGCCACCCTGATGAAGCAGCTTAAAGAGGCCCACGTTCAGTATCCTTTCCAGACGTTTGCGATTGGTATGGAAGACAGTCCTGATTTACAGGCTGCTAGAAAAGTAAGAAATCATCTGTGCCTGTTCTTAGAATGAACAGCAACATAATCATTGTTACTCTGATTCTACTGCTGTGTTGACTTGGGTGATTGTTTCAATTAAATCTCTTCGAATGAAATACTTGTTGAATATCAACAGTGTGGTACCCTGCCCTCTAGGTATTTTTATGTACCGTGATCGATGCATTCCTCACAAGCTCCCCGTGACAAGTAAGGGGGTATAGTGCTGTGGTTGATCGTCGTAGTCCTTGGCGCATGTGTGCTGGTTTCACGTGCTTGCTATCTATGCTTAGGGAGCAGTCGTGGTGGTGTGGTGCTTAAGCACCTCACTGCTCTAGCCAGAGGTTGGCCGTTCGAACGCATCAGTCAGTCCTTGGTAGAAAGGGCCGAGCCACCTTCTGTAAATGCTTAGAATCACAGGAACCCTGTGGGACAGTGCTCTGTCCTGCAGGGATCTATGAGTTGGAATCACTTGTTGGCGGTTTGATTTGGGGTTTATGCTTACGAATGTAAGGAACTGGGTAACTCAGTGGTTAAGTGTTCAACTGTAAATGGGAAGGTTGACAGTTAAACCTTCAAGTCACTCCATGGGAGAAAGATGAGGCAGTCTGCTTCTGTAAAGTTAGGCACATTAGTCATCATCATTAAAACATAGAGTCCTGGCTTCTATCCTGAAAGATATTAGGTAGAATGGATGAGTAATAGCTAGAGATCAGTCCCAAGGTAAATCGATTATTGTTGAGAGAATCCAAAATAGTCAAAGTAGAATGAGGAGAATCCATTGTATATTGGAATAACATCCTGGGTGTGAAATTGGGGGTGCCGGAGATTCAAATGTTTGGACTAGAAAGAGGTGAGGTAGGTTTGGTAGAAGAGGTGAACGCTAGGGCTAGTTGGGAATCTCTGGACTATTTATATAAAATTGAAACTTTTGGAATGAAGAGATGTGATGGGAGATTTGTTTGTTGGTGGTTGAATGGAGGATATTGAGATTGGAAAAGGTAAGAGAAACCAGGTTGGAGGTTCAAAACCACTCAGATGCCTGTAGAGACCTGACTATCTACTTCTGAAAATTCGACCATGAAAACCCTATGGAGTATAGTTCTACTCTGACACGTGGGTGGGGTCTTCGTGCATCAGTGTGGACTCCTGGACAACTGGCTTGTTGTTAATGTACGTGGTTAATAACAAGTGTATGGATGTTTCATATATAATCAGGTAGCAAATCACATTGGAAGTGAGCACCATGAGGTCCTCTTTAATTCTGAGGAAGGAATTCAGGCCCTGGATGAAGTCATATTTTCCTTGGAAACTTATGACATTACAACAGTTCGTGCTTCTGTAGGTAAGGTGTTTTGTTTTCAATGCTAAGGAAGTATAAGGGCTTAGCAACTATTATTTCAAACGGCAGTGAACAAAACAGTACTCACGCAGGAATGCAAACAAATTCCTGTCTCCAGTCGTTTCAGAACATTTGAGAATTCCCTGGATCTCTTTTGGAGTGCGGGAACAATAAATACCAACAGATGCCTAGTTAAACCTCCATCAGCCATTCATGGCTTCAGAGTTTATACAATCCCAAGAGTGGATATATTCCTTCCGCTTCTCTTTATAAAGTTTCATAGGCCTCTAATCTGAAGAAAATGAGGAAATAGTTCTGTATTGTAATGCCTTTGCCACTAGGAATCCTCGTTTTAGATGAATTTTGGTAGGTAGGCCATCAGAGCACTCATCAATCAGTAGTATTGCCCACCAAACAACAGTGATTTCACTCTGTAGATACTAATATTGCAGATTATATATCCAAATCAGACTGACCCAGGTTGCTGAACCTCACATTGGGTTAGATACTGGTTGGGCCCCATTGTTTATATTCTCCCTCCAAGGATCAATTTTTGGTCCTTGGAGGGCCAGGAAATCTTAGGTATTATAATGGTTTTTGATTCTACAAATACCATTGTACATTTAAAAAAAAAGATGTGATGATACTATTTCATAGGAGGCTTGGTGATGTAGTGGTTACTTACACATTGGGCTGCTAACCTTAAGATTAGCAGTTCAAAACCACCAGCCACTCCTTGGGAGACAGATGACGTTTTCTGCTTCCATAGGAGTTACAGTCTCGGAAACGTACCTGGGCAGTTCTGCCCTGCCCTTGAGGGGCTCGATGAGTCGGTATGGACACGATGGCAGTGACTGAGCATTTCACGGCTGGGAAAGGGCTCATCATCAAAGGCTCCTTTAGAGAGGGCATTGATGAAAGGACATAGAAGGAAACACTGGTTTAAAGAAATATAATTTAAAAACCTAGCAGGCAGGTCTTAGATAACATGTATATTGTGGGTATCAATTATATGTACCATTTGGTGGGTAGTGAACAGCAGAAAATGAACTAGAATACCAGCATTTTAACTCTTAGTATTGTTGTATGTTAACAATCGTGTAATAAGTATGATTCTTAGATGTTTGCATCATTGTTCAGTTTTGCAGAATTTCAAGCAGGGGCACTCTTATATAAAGACTTTAGAATTTTGAAACCTGCTTATAAACTTGTGGATTGGTTTTGGATTATTGTATTGCAGTAGTACAACTTTTGGACTAAGAATGTTTTAAGTAATTATAAATGTCATTATTTTGCGATCTATGGTAATACAAAATCCAATATAATAGCAAAGTTTGTCAGTTTTAAAAGTCAAATAATAGATGTTTTCTGGTTGAGGCCTAACATGAATACCTTTACTCTTTTTCTTAAGGTATGTATTTAGTTTCCAAATACATCCGGAAGAACACAAATAGTGTGGTGATCTTCTCTGGAGAAGGTTCAGATGAACTTACACAAGGTTACATATATTTTCACAAGGTAAATATTCTGAAATGGAAGGCTATTTGTGTTAGATTAAGAAAAGTATGAATTATTTGACTATGCTCATATGAACAGTAGTTTTTTAATATCTTGTGAAGTTTGCAGAGAACTGTGAGTCTCCACTTCATAATTCTTGGGGAGAAAAAAAGTCTTATGAATAAGTATAATTTTCATTCTTTCAAACAAGCGAAACATCAGAGTCACCTTTGTGGGTGTTATTTGTTCTAAAGTCACCTGTTTTGCTGTGAGAAAAGTCAGGATTATAAAGTATTGCTTTCCCATTAGCCAGCCTTTTCTTTCCATCCTTGTTTTGCTTTGCTCTTTTTCTTATCTGCTTTTAGAGTTGGAGTATGTGTACCAGTGAGAAATTAAAACTTTTGTGTGTTAAGACCAAAACTGTGTGTGTGTTGTGTTATGTGTGTGTAACATCAGCTGTGTCTCTGGAATTCAGGCTCCATCTGCTGAGCAAGCTGAGGAAGAGAGTGAGAGGCTCCTGAGAGAACTCTACTTATTTGATGTTCTCCGTGCAGATCGAACTACTGCTGCCCATGGGTAACTTAATAGAATCCACCTGTTAAAACATGTCACTGGCTGATTTTTTTTTTTCTTTTCCATTCTGTGGCAAAGTATGACTTGACTTTTACAGAAGGAAAAGAAGCATCTCAGCCAAAAGAGATAGACTAAATTCAAAGTGCTCTCATAGTGTTGACAAAGTAGTCTCCCACAGGCTGTTTTAGAGTTTCTATCTTTTTTTAAAAATCATTTTATTGGGGGCTCGTACAGCACTTATCACAATCCATAGATATACATCCATTGTGTCAAGCACATTTGCACATTTGTTGCCATCATCATTCTCAAAATATCTGCTTTCCACTTGAGCCCCGCTAAATCTTGAAGAGAGGTAACGATTATGCGTGCCCGTGGAACAGGTGTGGAGCACCTGCCATGCCGATGTGGTGTGCTGGACACTGCAGGGATCAGGCAGTTAGATTATTCAAAGCCATGCTTTTTTGGTGTCATTTCTGATTGGCTAATGCTTTTCCCTTTTTGGATGGCTTTCTGAGAATGAGACAATGGATGGTAGCATGAAAGGCTTTGGTTGCTTCTATGGTGTCAAACTTGGGAGGTAATTAAATATGGAGTTGGGGCCTGGACTAGACTTCAGGAGTCAGATGCTGCTGCTCGTGCAGAAACACTGCTGACCATGGTTTATATTGCATGTGGAGTCTTCAGGAGTGAGTAATGAAAAGCACTGGATTGTCCTTACAGTTGTACATAGAACAAGTCCAGGCAAAGGACATTGTTAATGATCAGATCCTTGAAGGTTCCTGACTATTCCTGCTTGTGGGATGCTTATTCAGCTCTTCATCAAAGGGACAGTAAAAGGAATAAACTAAACCTCCCTGAGTGGGAGTTTCATTTCCTATATGAATTGATAGGCACTCCTATTTTGAAGAAGGTTTTATATTCACCCAACCCCAGGGTATAATCTTAGAGGGCTTCAATAAAGTTTTGGAAAAATGGAGGGGAAAGATGAATGTCAAGGAAACTGAATCATAGTCTAAACTGACAGGCGCGACATATCCATTTTGGCTTAGATCATCTTCTTTTCTCCTATAAGCCTCGAACTGAGAGTCCCCTTCCTGGATCACCGATTCACTTCCTACTACTTGTCTCTCCCACCAGAAATGAGGATTCCAAAGGTAGGTGAATGGATTCCAGACACAAGCTTCTCACTGGTCTCAGGGTCTGTTTGCTCCTTGCTGATGTGCCTTTGTTTCCACTTCAGCATGGGATAGAGAAACATCTCCTGCGAGAGGCCTTTGAGGATACTAACCTGTTACCTAAAGAGATTCTTTGGCGACCGAAAGAAGCTTTCAGCGATGGGATAACCTCGGAGAAGAATTCTTGGTTTAAGATTTTACAGGACTTTGTTGAACATCAGGTATATAATTTTTTAGAGCATGTTCAGGCATAGGAGGAGTTGGATGCAGTGTGGTCATCACTATTCATTCTGTATTTAGATTGAATGTGGGATTTGGTTTTTGTCAGTGTGAGAGGACCACAGCCCCTATAGGTGGCACTTAATCTGAGTGAAGTAGCAAGAAGGTTGAGAACGTAGCATCTGTAGCGTCTAGCGTTGAAAGAGAGAGGAAAGAGACAACTCAGTCACCCCTGACTATCATTGAACATTGGGGGCACCCAGCAGGCTCCAGGGAAGCTGGGTGGTGTAGTGGGTTGTGTGTTGGGCTACTAACTACAGGTCAGCAGTTGGAAACCACCAGCCCTTCTGAGGGAGAAAGAGGAGGCTTTCTACTCCGGTGAAGTTAGTCTCAAACCCATAGGAGCCATTCTAGACGGTCGCTGAGTTAAAGTCGGCTTGATGGCAGTGGATTTGGTTTTGTTGTGAGTAGTATTAGAACATGCATGTAATGTTTACAGCTATATACAGGAGCCTTGGTGGCTGCTAGCCCCATGGTCAGCACTTTGAACCCAGTAGCCACTCTGGGAAAGAGCTGAGGCCGGCTGCTCCTATGAAGATAGGCCACCTCAGAAGTCCTCTAAAAGGCTGGCTCACTGCGTCGGAACGGACCTGATGACAGGGCGCTTGTTTTTACCATAGCTATATCCTGTGGACAGTTTCTAAGTGCTGTGGCACTTGAAAGGGTCCCTCACAAATCCTGCCTTGTTTCTGTCCTCTTATTCTCCCAGGTTGACGATACAATGATGGCCACTGCCTGGGAGAAGTTTCCCTTCCACACTCCAAAGACGAAAGAAGCTTACTACTACCGCCAGATCTTTGAGCGCCACTACCCTGGTCGGGCTAACTGGCTGACCCATTACTGGATGCCTAAGTGGATCAATGCCACTGACCCTTCCGCCCGTACACTCACCCATTACAAGTCAGCCGCCAAAGCTTAAGTGCACTCTAAGCAGAATAGTCAACGGTAATGCTGCTTGTTTGGCGTTGTACGGTACGACAGCTGGGTCCTGGGAACAAGGAGCCTAACTCGTTTACTTGAGTTAAATAAAATAAAAGTCTTAAATCTGAAACATTATGATCGCCTTTTGTGATCTTATAGTCCTTTCATTAGTGGTAACTAGAAATTGAGTGATTTTGCTTTTTCCTAAGGTGGAAGGTGAACTTGAAGTGGGGAAAGCAGGCCGCTGTTTGCAAGAGCTCGCCAGCACCCTGGTGGCAGGGTGACATGAGAAGACATTTAGTCCTCATGCAGATGTAGCCTCTCCCCAGGGAATGTGGTCCCTTGGCTTGTCATTTTCTGACCCCTATTGTAGGAGGACAACCAATATGCCCAGCCTTTTCAGAACCTCCCTTGGTGAGTTAGTTAATTGTGCCAACCTGGCCGATAAACACATTTGGGGCTAATTGAAAGGCGGAGGGATAAATGGGGTGGTGAGCCTGGCCTTTCTAGTTCTCGGGTCTCTTGCTTTGTGATGGTCGCACCAGGGTGCAGCTGCCTTAGCAGTTCCCTGCTTCAGCTTGCAAGATTGACTTCCTACAAGACAGCCCCAAGGAGAAGCCACATGGACCTATCTCGATGCAGCCCTGGGTGCTGGAGCAGCCGTGTGGAGACCCCTGCTAGTGCTGAGATGCTTATTCGTTCACTGACTCAGCTTTCCTCCTGCAGTCGGCATCATTGCCTCTGTTTTGTGAGGTGGAGGACTTTGTGGACTGGTGTTGGGTTAATGGGTTAATGTTGGACTTGTGGGTTTGGGCAGCATTGGGTTGGGATGTTTTCGTGATGCACACTTTATATAAAACTCTTATACGTGAGTTGCTGTGGATTTGTTTCTCTAAAGTACCTAGACTAATACACTTGGGAAAGAGAATCCTTAACAAGGACACATGGCACTAACAGGTTTCCATTTGAATGCTCACTCCTTGAAAGATAGCTGAGATACAGTTGAAAGGTGAATTTGACAGGCATTGTGAGGAGGAGCTGCTGGCACACATACTGCTAGGAGTACAAGTAGTGGGGGATTTAGCTCCCCGGGGAACGTGGAACATTTTGAGGCTAGTTTTGGACTTTAGCTGAAGGAAGGAAGCTGGAAAAAATCATATTCAATGACATAATCTTAAGTCCAGGTGCTTTACTGAAAACTAGCATAATTTAGTTCTAGGCTTACTGTTCATAATTGAGCCTCATCCAAGTAAGGAAAGTAGCACCAAGAATGTTGGAACCTTGAGAGACATGGGGACATTAAAGTAGTATACACCCACTTGAGCCCTGGCGGTGTATAGTGGGTTATGTGTTGGACAGCCAATTGCAAGATCAGCAGTTCAAAAAGATGAGGCTTTTTACTCTGGTAAAGATGTATGTTCTTGAAACTCACGGGTAATTCTGCTTTGTCCTATAACCTTGCTAGGAATCACGGCCATGAGTTAATTACACACCCTTTCACTTATCACTAGGTTCCAAAAACCAGGTGATGTGAAAATTGGTGTTAAGCCAGAATGGAGGGTGACCATGTCGGATCACAAAGTGGAGAAGGACTACATCTTTACATAACTACCCAATTATATCATGCAGCTGCCAAACCACTGAGCATCTTGACCCAGCTGTTGACTAATGACTATCACAGCCAGCATCACTCTCACCTGTCACATCAGCAGTACATTGTTACTGCGCCAAAGAAGCCCTTAGCAGATTTCTTTATGACTGTTTGCAAAATGTTGCCTAACTAGATTGTCAGTAAAGCAGGAGCCAGTTTTTGAGGGCCTAGGTGTTGGCTACAGATTTTTAACTTTAGTGACTTGGATTTGCCACCCAGATTTTTTTTTTTTTGCCACCCAGATTTTATAGTAGATAGATGGCTAGACCAATTTTATAGCAGTAAGTCCCACCCTGCAGGTTAATCATAACTGCACCAATTTTCCAAATATAAGCAGTACATGAGAGCTAATATCAGGCCTCTGGCTGACAATATAATTTAGTTCCTTTTCTCTTTTGCAACTAAAATGAAAGGCTTGAAGTGATGCTGTCCACTGGATCACGTACACGGCTCAGCAATGTGTGCATTGTTCAACCTGTTTCCCTTGACCATTCTGATTCTGGCAATCCAGTTGTAAGGAGGTATTTGGCATCTAATCCAAAGAGCACCACTAATAAGTTTTTTCAGTGGTAAACTAAGATTATTTGCTGGTCTCTGTGCCTTTCCAACCTCATCTGAGCACGCTGGTGTGACCTGTGCCCTAGAACCTTACTGCACGGGCCTCAATAAAGGTACGATGTAGAGTATACAAGAATGATGCACGTGGCCTTCAACAGTTTTGTTTTTGTTTTTTAGCATGTATAGATTACCCGGGTTAACATAGGCCTTAATCCAGAAGTAGCCCCGAGTCATATTTCAACCTCAAAAGGCGTACATCTAATACTGGCCTTAGACCTTTGTATGAGTAGTTTGTTGTGGTTGTAGAGTAATTAACATTCTGCCTCCCTGGGGTTACCTTAGTTTGGTCTGGATCCACGGAAGGAATTTTCAGAGCGAGGCTTTGATCTCAAGGTCTCAGAGGAAGCCAAGTGTCAGCTGGGTAGGCAGTCACTCCATGGAGCTGTGCGGTAGATAAGTCACCAACTCTTAGTGCACATGTTCGAGTTCTGTTTAAAGTGCTCTTTTGTGTTAGCTCACGTAATCGACACTGAGGGAGTATGACAAATGATCTTTGTTATACCAGTCTATTGGAGAAAGACTGGACTTTCTACTCCCAGAGAGAAACCCTGCCCTTCTGGATCACTATACGTTCTAAAGGGCAATGAGTTGGTTTTATTTGTATTTTTAACACCAGTATATTTCTGGTCTCATATTTTCCCAGAGTACTTCTGCCCCCCTGGTGAGGTAATCTGTTACCCTATTTACCCTCATCTTGGACAAGGGCAGGGCTTTGCTTCAAGTGGTAGCTCCCTCATAGCACCTGATGGGACAGAGTAGAACTTCCCCCATGCGTCCCTGAGACATGTCTTTATGGAGCAGATAGCCTCATCTGAGTAGCAGCAGGTGGTTTCAAACTGCTAACCACAGTGGTTTGCAACCCAGCATAATCCACTTTGCCAACAGTTGGGTCAATGAGTCAGAATTGACTCAATGGCAGTGAATTTGGTTTGGGGAGTAGACCCCTGGTAGCATAGTGGGTTACAGATTCGGCTGCTAACAGCAAGGTCGCTATTTGAAAACACCAGCCACTCTGCAAGGAAGATGAGACTTTCTACTCCCATAAAGAGTTATGCCTCAAAACCCACAGGGGTGGTTCTTCTCCATCCTACAGGGTCACGATGAGTCAGAATCCATGCCAGGGCAGTGAGTAGACACCGTGGGAGCAGGGCTGAGTGACTTCTGAGGCGAGGTCGGACAAGGTGAGAAGGCTTCTGCTTGCTTTCTCTCCGATGCAGGTAAGGAGCCCCACGGTACATGGAAAGGCCACAGATAGTTTCAGCCGGAGCTTCAGCTAAGGTCTCAAGTCAGCAGCTACCACCTGCCACCAGAGTGAACCTTCGTATAATCCCAACCCCCAGCTTTTGAGTCTTCCAGTCATAAGGCACGGATAAGACATCCCTGTTGTGCCGTGTCTGAGTTCCTGACTCTCAAGACTGAGCACAACAAATGGTTATTTGACAGCATTAGGTTTCCTAACGGGATATGTAACTGAAACAAATATTCATTACTTCCTCTGCTGTATAGGTGAGGAAAGTAAAACAAAGACCTTTAGCTCTGGGACACTCAGCCAATTTGATAAGTGGCCCAGGAGCATAAAGTTACCAGGTAGATTGGCTCCAGAGCTTTTGTGTTGTTTTTAGGAATCTATGTTTTCAAATGACATTACAGTGTGACCTCTGCAGTGTATTGCAAAACTACGGGAGGAGGGCCTCCTCTTTACTTGAGTTGGAACCAACGGAGAGCAGTTACCTCCCTGGGGATCACAGCCTAGTGCATCTTATTCTGTAATGTTAAGGAGACAGGAAGCCGGCTTGGGCTGCTGACAGGGCCGGAGCAGGGGCCCCTGCCCTGTCTGTTAATGGACTTAGCAAAGGACCCCGTGAAACACGTTATGGACAAAGGACTTTGTAAGACTTGGTATGGAAAACACCTTAAGCCAGTGAAAATCCTGACGTAAGACTGTACTCGAGATAATCCTGAGATATTCTGAGAAATCCCGATGCAGGGCTGTACTCGGAGAGCAGCCGGAGACATTCTGACACAGAGCAGCAGCCCAGATAAAACGGAAATGATTCATGTGACCCCAGCCAGGCTGACCAAATAAAGTTGCTTGACCATCTGCAGAGTCCCAAACCCCTCTCATTTGAAAGTGCCATATAAGAATTGGAAGCATTTCCTAGACAACATCCCCTCTCGCCTGTAGAGGGGGACTCGCTTCACCTCCAGGTTGGGATGGAAGATATAGAACAAACACTTTCTTTTCGTGCTATTGAGTTGATTCCAATACGTAATGATCCTAAATAACGGTAGAACTGCCCCAGAGAGAGTCCAGGGCTGTCAGTCTTCACAGAAGCAACTTGTAATATCTTTCTTCTGCAGCATGACTGTGGGATGGAACCTCTGAGCTTTTGGTTAGCATCCTCGTGCCTAACTCTACTGACAGGTAGACAGATGAGGGATAACAGGACTATCTACCAAATGCTATAATAAAGGGGTTGCAAAGAACTCAGGCACCCTTTAGACATATATGGGAGATCACCTAGGTACCAACAACATGGCATTACACAGGTGTGGGTGATCAGCCTCCCCTCAGCCTAATTAGGGCCACGGGGAAGTTGTGTAATTAAAGGCTAAGTTAAAAGCACATCAGAGAAGATAAAGCAAGCAAGGGCTCACCTCTGCGATTGCTTCAGGAACCAGGTCCAAGCAGAGAGCATAATGTAATCTCACAAGTTGACATATTCTTGGTCACGCAGGACACAGTTAACACATAGGTAATGGGAAAGGGTTGTACAAGAGGCATACATGTACACGGGGGGATAAGCTAGGGGTATACATGTAATAGGAGGAGGAGGCACTCGGGGCACGCACACATGTGACAGGA